GTAGGCCCAAAATTGGGAGGTTGCCTATGGTCGGGCTACCATCCTTAGTTTTCAAGGACACAACACTATTTGTTATTTGGAAGGAAGCTTTAGACTTCAGCGATAAAACTTTAGTGTAACTCAGTTCTCGACATCCCGTGGTGCTTCTTTGAGTCTCTCAACTTCCATCTAGAGACATGTACCGAGCTTTCTCTTCTCTTTAGTTGTGATCTTACAATGTTTCATCCGGAGATGACAAGACTCGTTTGCAGCCCCTTAATGTGGATACCCCATGTCAATCAACATGGACTCTTCTCCTTCCACCAGAATGCGCTCTCCAGCTGTGAGAGTGGTTTTTGTCTTCCCACCAGCTAGTTTGGGTGGTGCGTGCAGACACCGAAAGTCTCGAACCGACTAGCATGCTGCCACCCTCAATTACCCCATACAACTATAAATACCCCTTTATTGCATTCGATTGTTTTTTACATTTTCTAGATATAATGTATGTTCCTTCCATCGCAACAAGTGTATGCATGAGTAATTCTAGCCTAGTTTTGAATAATAAGGCCAAATTTGAGTGTAATGCAAGTCCAAGAGAAATTATCCTGAATCAATTATAAAGGATTTAAGCTCTTCCATCTCTTCTCATCCCTTTAAATAGGGTTACGACAAGATTATTACTAAAAATTAATTGGTGAAAAAAACTCTTTTCAGTTTCCAAAGAAGTGCCTAAAATAGACCAAAAGACTATCACACCCCTACTAATATAATTTCACATCACTAGTGAAACAGTAACGCCATGATGACCCAAAAATGTCAGTGATCACCGTCTTCGTGAGCACCGACGGTCACATTGACCAATGCCGTCGCCGTTTACCGTGACTGTCGCCGCTGGTCAGAGTGACCACCACACAGTGACAAAAAACACACCATTGACCCACTTAGTGACCAAGTCCCAGGCCAACCACTCCTTTTTCTTATTGACCTGAAACTCATAGTAACCAACTATCACCACTTTGTTGCCTCAATAACCACTTTGTGTACAACCGCACATAATGATTTTTAACGCCATCTGTGACACCCAGTCCGTATACGGTGCAACCGATGCACGGTGAGCACCATGCTCTCATGACTATATGAAATGTAACTCGTGTGATTCCACATGTAACTTGAAGTTAATCAAAATGTAAATTACACTCATTCACATGTTGGAAAAATGTGTTAAAAATTGCATTAAATGGTCATTTTGGGGCAATTATTTGAGTGGGGTCCACTTCTGATTTGGGTCGGGTCAAAGTGGTTTCAGATTGTCCTTGTTAAGGGCTACAATTCGATATGCGGTACACTCAAAACGGATAACGGGTGAATGAGAAATTGATTCTCGAAGTTCACTCGTTGAAATGGAAAAACTGGGAAAATGATGAGTTTCTAGTGTGTTTTATCCCACACCGAAAAAATCAAGGGATTTTCACCCCCTTATAAAGGGAAACCTCTTTTAAGGAGTTAAGATTCCTAAGGGTAAAGGCTCTCTCTTACACGCAGGGGGGTGCCGATCAAATTCCGAAACGGAGAAGAAAAACCGCGACTCGTGTGCGCGGGCGACCTGCGGACACGAATGCCGTCCAACGGACTGGTCATTGATGTCCAACGTTCAGGTCCATTAACACCCCATTTAACACACAACAAATCCTCCTATAAATAGCTGACAGGTGCTTTGCAACAAACACACGGTTTGACAACGCAAAATACTTTCCTCACGTTTTCTTGAGCTAAAAACTCTTCCAACTACTCCCAAATTTCCCTAGTGTTCTGCTATTGTTCCAGTTCACCGGGACTTTCGTTTGTGTGCTCAAACGATCGTTCGTTAGCCACCGTATCCCGGGAAACGGTCGTTGCAACGCTCCTAGCACCGTGGGAGGCGACGAATACGTTTTAAGGACATCGTGCGTAGCACGAGCTCTGGCTAAAATCTGCTCCATCTTATTTTCTGTTTTCTCTTAGCTATTTTGTTTATTAATTAATTTTATTTAATTAATATTTCTTCGTTTATTCCGAAACACACCCAACACATGTAACTCGTTGAAATGTAAACTGTTTTAATTGAAATGTAACTTGAAAACAAATTAGATGTAACTTGGTATATGTAACTTTAGGCAAATCTTGATGTAACTTGAGTGTACCCAACATGTAAATTGATGAAGATATAAAATAATTCATAATAGTCATCTTCAACAAAACAACTCTCCATTGATCAATTCTGGTTTTGATGAATCTTCAAACCCAATCGAGTAAAAACAAATCGAGTCTCCTTCGACAAAGATGACGACCAACCCCTGTGACGAAGATGGAAGTCAGTCCCTTGCGATGAAAATCGCGACCAGGCCCTGCAACGAAGATGGAGATCAACCTTCATCTTTCTTCTGCATCGATTCGGCGTAAATTTTGTTCGACAACTTGGGTTGTGCGGTGGGGCACAACGGTTGGGGTGGTTGGAGGGGTGTCTAGGGCTTGGAAGGGTCTGGACCACAGGCGGAAGATGGAGTTTTGGGACCGGACACACCATCCTCATAGTGCGCCGGTCGTAGGGTATAATTTGCGGTGACACCTAGAGAGCAGCCGAGTGACCTCACCATCACAAGTGTGACCTGAGTCTTCTCTCCCCCACCCAGCGCCACCCCAACCGAACTCCCTCCCTGACTGGCCCTAGCGTCGCCATATGTCCATCCCATCCCTTACCTCCACCAGCATGGCCCCAACCCCCTCTAGCTCCCCAGCCCCCACATCAAACTTTAGCTGCACGATGCGTCGTTTCCATCGAAATCCCATGCTCCTCCCCCCATTCACCATTGACGTGCTGCATATATTGGTCGTCATCTTATCGATTCCATCCCCCATCGTTGTCGACCAAGGAAATAGAAGAAGAAAAAGAACAAGAAGAAGAAGAAAAGCGTGGGGTTTGAAGACGACAACGACGAGTGGGAAAAGAATCACAACGAGTGAGAGAAGAAGCACGACAAGAAGAAGGTGAGAGAAGAAGCGCTGCGAGCAACGGGTGAGAGAAGAAGCGCGACGAGCGAGAGTGGCGGGGGATCACGTACCACGAAAGCGCAGAGAGGATCCGACCGAGGGGCAGGTTTTTAGGGTTTTAATATTGTTTGTATTTATACCAGGAATATTTCTGTTTGATCATAAATAATAGATCTCTTTTTTATTAAAATTAAAAATCTATCCTATTTATGTCGAAGGAGCTAGAAGCTGGTAGTATTATTTTTGCCATTATTTCCTTTAAATATTTGCACGGTTGCACCATCCAATTCATTCATACACCCGTGAATGTTGTGTAACTCAGTGCAAGTGTTAGACTTGTCAGGGCAGTTAGCTTCAACAAATGTGATTTAAAAAAACAATATATATAAAATTATTTGAATATTTTTAAGAAAGTATAAGTAAAGCATTTTTTTAGTAAGTACTCCCTCCGTCCCGCTAACAATGGGACAAGAGGGAGTGACACGCTAATCAATAAAAAGTGGTTTATGTGGTTGATATTGAATTGATAAAGCAAGAATAAAGTAAGAATGATTTAGAGCCACACAAACTTTGACAAATTTGGTATGTGATAATCTTAGTGGGATGTACAGATAAGGTAAAACGGGACAATCATAGCGGGACGAAGGTAGTATAAGTGAAGTACTCTTTTAGCAAGTATAAGTAAACAATTCCAACTGACCAATGAAGATAAACACACCGAGAATTATGAATTACTACGTATCAATAATGGACTACTCCAACCCTTTGTAATAGTTTGTGATACCCTCAAATCCTTTGTAGGAGTACTTCCTATAAAACTTTTGTTCAATCGAGAAAAGGGTCAGATAGGATCTTGAACTTACAAAAAAATGTCAAATAAGGCCTTATATAGGAGGTTCTGTACGGACGACGACATTTGGGGCAGTTTATGGTGGAATTTTTCGATGAAATTTTGTGAGCATCTTATTCATTAAGTCTAGTTTACTCATACCAAATTTCAGCTAAAACTTCAATCGGGAAGGCATTCAAATAAATTCTTGACGATAACTGCGCTTTTAACTGTGCACTTATCTTCAATAATTTATTTGAATACCTCCCCGATTGAAGTTTTAGCTGAAAATTGGTATGAGTAAACTAGACTTAATGAATAAGATGCTCAAAAAGTTTCATTGAAAAATTTCACCGGGAACCGCCCCCAACTGGCGTCGGCCGGACAGAACCTCCTATATAAGCCCTTATTTGACATTTTTTTGTAAGCTCGAGGCCCTATCTGACCTTTTTCCCTGTTCAATTTGTTAGACATATATAATATATTCTCTCTAGGGGTGGACTCAGGTCCGGGTCAGGCCTAGGCCCGGGTAACCACCGGGTCCGGTCCGGGCCCATTTTCAATTTTTTTTCCCTCTTCCTAATTAACCCCCCTCCCACCCCAACCCCCCAAACCACCCCAAATGGCCCAAAATACCCAGCTCAACCCGAAAATTTAAAAAAAAAATTGAAAAAAATAGTTTTGGCCTGAACCGGGCCCGGGCCCGGCCGGGTCGGGCCTTGTTTTGGGTGACCCGAGCCCGGACCGGAAAACCCACGGGTCGGGCCTACCTGGACCAGTCACTGACCGGGCACCGGGTCGGGCCGGGCCGGAACAGTGCCGGTCCCGGGCCGGTTCCGGGTCGGACCACCCGGCCCGAGTCCATCCATAATTCTCTCATATTCAACTATGAGTACTATGAAGTTTCCTGAAAATAGAATAAAAACAATATGAAATTCCAAAATATGAGTATTATATTTTCTCTCTGAAAAAGGATTAAGTTAATACGATCCTAGAAATTACAACTGTCATTGGTATTACTAGCATTAATATGACTATTTGACAGTACTGATTGGAAGTATTTTCAGAACATGTCTATAATTAGTCTCATTTTGGAAAATCTCATTGTTTTTACTCCTATTTAGGATAGATTCAAATTTAGGATTGAACCAAAATGTTAGTACATGTTTAGCTTTGTCACAATAGGAAACTCTGATGGCCTGATGGAGGAAGTAGTGATTCTTAGAAAATCAACACTTTAAAATAAGATAGCTACAATTCCTGAGAAAATTGATCAAATTTGTGACAAAAATGGGGCAGGAGGATAAGACACATCATATGTAGCAAGCATGACAATCTTTTCACACTCAATAAGTTAACAGAACAGTCCTAAGTTTTTAACTCACAGTTTAGAGCTAGATAAGCCCTCAAGGTCATACTGCATCTCAACCCGTTGCATAGTAATGGAGCTCATGACTTCTTCCCTACGCAACTCTTTCAAAAGCAAAGCTGCCATCTCCTTCTCTTCTTCATGTATGAGCCCCTCGACTATAATGGTATAAGTTGTCTCGTTCGGCTTATATCCTCTCATAACCATCTCCTCATACATAGCCAACGACAAATCTGTTCGTTGAGCTTTGCATAACCCATGCACAAGAGCATTGAAGATCTCAATATTCGGGACATAAGTTTCATGTAGATTCCTAATCATCTCAACCGCAGCATTGACCATCCTCTCCAAACACAACCCTCGGATGAGGGCCGAGTAGATCATTGGGTCAGGCATAAACCCGATCATAGCCAAACCAAACAAGAGCACAAATGCAGCATACGTATTCCCCTTTTTACAAAAACTTGAAATCACGCCTCTGTAAAAATTGTTAAATGGGAGGAGCTGTTTGACCCGCAAGGTCTCGAGAAGTTTAAGAGCTTCTTGCACGTCTTCCTCCTCTTCACCCTCACAAAGAACAGCAATGGCATTATATGTCCCCTCACTAGGACCACATTGCTTGAGAATCATCTCCTCCAGAAATTTGGTAACATCTCCCAACTTCTTTTCTCTACATAGGCGGGCAATTATCGGATTATAACTCTCCGCATCTGGCTTCACATTTCCAGCCGAGTGCATTTCATCCAGGATACTAAGGGCGTCGGCTAATCGGCCACAATCAGCATGTGAAGTGATTAGAAGATTGTAGGTCCCTGTGGTTGGTGAGCATTTTTTACTAGCCATGTCAGCAATAAGCTCATTTGCCTCTCCCAATCGCCCCTCTTCAAGGCACAAGCTCTTCAATAAGATATTGTATGTCAAAGCATTGGGTTTAAACCCTATCGAAGGCAATTTCCTAAAGAGCTGGATAGCTTCATCCACTCTCCTTTCCTTACACAGCCCGGTCAACAGGACATGGTAACAAACAAGATTAAGTGTACCACCCTCTCGAGCTATTTTTTTCAAGAGAACCATAGCCGTGTCTACCCCTTTTTCACGACAAGTCGCATCAAGCAAGATCGAATGGGTATACGCATCCGGGACCAGTCCTTTCTGGATGAATTTATCGATGAACTGGAGGCACAAATCCAAACTCCCCCTCTTACAAAGCCCTCTTATAAGAGAATTATAGGTCGACGTTCCGGTAGGATATCCATATTCCTCCATCTTTTCAACCAATTGCAAGGCATTGCCCACATTTCCCTTCTTGCACAAGAAATCCACCAAGAAAGTGTAAGAAGATGCATCTGGCAGACAACCAGACCTAACCATGGTTTGCATAACCATGCTAGCTTTGCCAAGCCTATTCTGGCGGCAAAGAGAATACACCAGTTGGGTTGCTTGGTCCACATTGGGTTTATGCCCCATCTTTACCATATTCTCTAAATATATAACTGCGTCACGCAGCTTAATTTCTGTTCTTCTCTGGTCATTACTGGGCACCGTCCAGTTAGGCAGATCAAAGACATGGTCTTTCACGGCCAAGTCTTTCTGCGCTTTGTTACCTGTACGGGCAACGGCTAATACTCTGGAAAAATTCTTTTTACGCAGCAAGCAATCCCAAAATTTTGGTCTTTCGGGCATGAAATGACATGGGTACCTACTAGCTAACCCCGATGCCGTGTTTGTCCATGGAGGCGGTGAGTTTATGAGCACGGCCATGGGTTATTGGTAAAATTGGCGAAGATTAATTGAAGCGCAGAAAGCTTGTGATTTTATCTCCTGGATTGCATTCGAAACTAGGAAAGCTTCATATGAATCGAGAGGGGGAAAAAATCAAGAAATGGATGTCGGGCGAGGCGCCCGTAGCACACAATGGGGCTGAGGTTTAACGTACGGAAATTTCCAGATTGCTCTGTGTCTTTCTCACTCTCCGTAAACCCACAATTTGACCTTGATTCACCATGTTCATAAGACGATTGGCCGCAGTGATGTAGACTCGAGCGTTATCTTGTTTTGGGCCGTATAAATATAGGTCCATGAGTTCGAGTACACAAAATGGGCTTAATGCACATGCACTCAAATCCTGATATAGAAATTCAGCGCATTAACTCATTTGATTTAAAAAATACGTCAAATCCTCTTATGTTATACCCCCTCCGTCCCCTTGATATTGGGATAGAAGGGAGTGGTGTGATTTTTAAGAAAAGTAGAATTATGTGGTTGGTAATGAGTTGATAAAGTGAGAATAAAGTAATAATGAATTAGAGCCACACAAATCTTACCAAATATGGTATGAGACAATAATAGAGAGACATCCAAAAATGAAAAAATGAGACAAATATAAGAAGACGGAGGGAGTAATTATTAATGCGTAGAACCCCTTTTATGAATAAATTCACCAAATTCAAAATCTTTTTTCTTAATACTCCGTATTATTAATGAATATGCAAGTAAATTTGTTAAATGTCTAAAGTATATACAAATGCTAATTATTTTTCTTTGGTTTGAAAATAAAATATTTTCAAAAAAGGTTTGCGTATGATTAATTATAACACATGGGGGTTTGACGAATTTTTGAAATCATAGGGATTTAATGCCCTACATTTTTATATCACAATGGGGTTTGGTGCATTCAACCCTACAAGAAAGATTAAAATCAAAAATAAAAAACAATTATACGCCAAGTATTAGTCGAATGGAATATATATAAGCCAGATTTTATCATAATAAACTAAATCAAGTGAGATTTAGTCAGATCACATGCAAATAAATCAAATTGAGTTTTTTAATCTAATTCAAAAAATCCTAAATGGCACTAATATGTGAAATTGGAATTATCGAACACGGTTTATAAAAGATTAGATACATGTGCAGTCTTTTTATATTAAGAAATTGCATTAAAGAAGATGCCAAAATAAACATGATAGTATTTTTCAAGCTTATAGTATTTTTCAAGCTTGACAGTGAGGATTCCTATTCAGAGAATAAAAAATTATTATTTCTATTTTGGAAAACTAAAATATCTTATTCTTATTTAAGGAGTCTTCCATTTATATTTTACATTCATACAATTTTTTCATGTAACTTTATTTAATAACCAATAATAACTGATGGTACCATGGGACCCGACCATGGCCCAATTGCGTAAGTCCGGCCCATAAACGGGATTAGCCCATAAACGGGACTAACCTTATCAGAAGTAATGATAGATGGCCGCTGGGCCTAAATTAGGAACCAAGCCCGCGAGAGGAACCCACAGCCAGGCCAGGCTGGGAAACATGCCTCGAGCCTGGGCGGAGTTCTAGTGAGGCTGGGATATTCCTAGGGTTGACGTGACATGGTATCATTGGGATGGCAGCTGGCAGGAGATAAACGGCTGGAACGTGGGAATAAAAGAACAATCATTGCATAACGGTCGAGGCGTTACAAGAGTCCTATTCGAACTAATGCATCATTAATAGCATTTATTGTATCAGTTTCCTTTTGTAACACTAGTTCCTTAGCCTATAAATATAACTTGTAAACCTGCGAAACGGGGGGAGAAAAGATTGATCAATAAGACACTGTCTTACGCTGCCAAATTATTATCTGTTTCCGTAGATTTAGCTCTTGTTGTTGGATTACACTCCATCAATAACTATATTCTACATGTTCTATATTATTTCATAATAACAGATAAAATATAAAGTGCAATGTATTTCTAACAATATTTTGCCTTATGAAATATGAAGTGTCAACAAATGTTGTTGACACATTGGCCCGACCCGATACTGTTTAGGCTCGGTCCGACCCGGTAGCTATAAGGACGAGCTTCGGGCTCGTTTTTTGGGCCCGACCTGATCCCGAGCCCGATTGCACTGTTTTTAATCTATTGCCTAATCTCGTTCCAGAGCCCGACCCGACCCATTAGTGTTTAGGCTCGACCCGGTCCGGTACAAATCCAGGCTAGTACCGAGCATGAAATTTTTAGGCCCGAGCCCGCAAAGTCCCGGCCCGGAGCCCCACCTAATCCGGTCCCGGTCCATCCCTACATAGTGCCATCTTGTTTGAACTCCTTTTTTGTAGTGACAATACCTCCCAATCCACTCCATTTACATAGATGGTAACAAATTTGCAGAGGCTATTAGATCCCATATTCCCATTGCATCAACTTCTGGGAGGATATCTACGTAGTTATGAATTGATGGGGTTACAGGACTAGGTCCAGAGCCTAATCGGCCTAGACCCCGAACTTGGACCAGCAGGCCTAGGCCCAGTGATCTAGAGCTTGAGCCGGCCCAACTGATCAAGCCCATCAAGGAGCAGAAGCCCAAGATGGCCTGCCTTCCAGCCCGGTCAGCAGCCTGCCTCCAGCCCGGCCAGCAACCTGCCTCCAGTCCAGGAGGGAGCCTGCCATCCAACCCAGGAGGGAACCTGCCTTCCAGCCCGGTCAGGAGCCTGCCTTCCAGTCTGGCCAGGAGCCTGCTTTTCATCCCGGCCATGAGCCTGAATTCCAGCCTAGCTAGGAGCCTGCCTCCGGCCCAGCGGGGAGCCTGTCTTCCAGTCTATCCAGGAGCCTACTTCCAGCCCAGCCAGGAGCCTGCCTTCATCCCAGCAAGGAGCCTATCCTCCAGCTCGACGAGGAGCCTGTCCTCCAGACTAGCGGGGAGCTAGCCTGTCTACCAGCCCAACCGGAAGCCTTCCTTTCGGCCTAGCGAGGAGCCCGTCCTCCAGCCCAGCGGGGAGCTTGCCTTACAGCCCAGCGGAAGCCTGTCGCCCGAGCAGCTCAAGCGTTCTGGTTGCCAGGCAGGAAGAGTAACGACCAACAATCAATGCGCTATTTATTATGTATTTAATTTCGTATTAATTTTGCAATTAATTTAGTCATTATTATGTTCGACACTTACCATTTGTAATCGCCTGTAAAAGGCAATTTGAATTTCAAATACAGATATGCTATTTCTGGCTACCAAATTCCCTTTGCAACTTTCCATTCTTGTATTACTTTCCTAATTCCTGCTTGAGTGTCGTACGTTGCTTTCCTAAAAGCCTACGAGCGTCATATTTTGGACCAACATTGGTGCTTTCATTGAGAGCCTCTATCGCCTCTCACATCGCTCGAGTAGGAACCACAAAGGAAGATGACCGGAATCTTGTCCCGACATGACCATGTCTCAGTCCACACCGAGGAATCCACCCGGCCTAGCCGCTAGCGTGCCCCCGACAACCATGGACAAAGCAAGGGGCGGCGCGCCAAGGCGACCTTCGGAACCGGTTGTCAGGCCACGGCGACCTGAGCGCGACGCTCAACCACACCCAGGGTGAGCGCTTGGTCCGCAGCCAGCGGGGGAGGCCGACGTCATGCTCCGCGCATGGACACGGCTCGACTCGATGCTGGGGTGGAAGCCCTACAAGAGGAAACTCGAGTTCTAGGGGCCTTGGCTCAAGGTTTCCAGCAAATGATATCTGGCGGTAACATGGATGAGCCTGTTCGTCAACAGACGCTAGCAGATGTGGAGGTGTCCTCCAGGCAGCGCGACGAGCGACGCTCTGGATCCAACCAACAAAGAAGGGAAGAAGTCTCCCAGCAGCTAAGCCGGTCCCATCGGCAGGCTAGGAGGGGCGCCAGGCAGGGGCGCTCAATGCAAATGGAGGGAGGCAAGCCCTCTCGCCACTCTCACCAGGCGAGCAGTCGGACTGGCTCCGTGGAGAGGCAAAACGTGGGGCCTCGACCTCACATGCACGGACGACTTGGAGGTGCCGCTGGACATGCCCAGCCCCGCGCTGGGGCTGTCCGGGGAAACCCACTGCCGGCCAAGGTGGAAGATCTACGACAGCGCCTCGACGAGTTGAGAAGAAGGGTTGTCAGGGGGAACCTTACACGGTCGAGCTCCAGATACCCGAACCTTTCACCCGGGCGGTCATGGATGCATCGTTGCCCAGGGGCTACAAGCCCTGCGCCATCGAAGCATACAATGGCACTTCTGACCCCCAACATCATGTATCTTGTTACCTTTCCTACATGGTGATGATGGGGTACGAAGACGCCATCCGATGTTGCGGTTTCTCTGCCACTTTGGATGGCCCGACTCGTGAATGGTATGATCTTTACCCGACGGGAGTATCACGAATTTTCGTGAGTTGGCTCAGCGCTTTCTCTTGAGGTTCGCGAGCTCCCGAAACGTCAAGAAGAACTTCAGCCACCTGTTCGGCCTAAAACAAGGGAAGAAGGAATCATTATCGACCTTTTTAACGAGGTGGAGGGCCGAGTAAGTCAAGGTTCGAGGCCTTGATGACAAGACCGGGGTGGCCATGCTCACAAACTCTATTCGGTCGGGCGAGCTTTACAAAGATTTCATCAGAAGTGCCCCTACCTCATACGAGGAGTCGCTCGGCCGTGCCGACCGATAAGCCGAGGTGGAGGACGCCTTGCAGAGGAAAAGAGATGAGGAAGAAGGCGCAAAAGAAGAGAAGAAGAAGGAAACTGGTTCGGGTGTTGAGAAAACTGATGGTAAAGCCGGTGGCAAGAACAACAAGTACAAAGGTAACAAAAGCAAAGGCAAGGGCAAGGCGGACGTCCCGAGCAGACCACTCCTGCCCGTCAAGCAATTGACTCCACTTGCTCAGCCAGTCGGGGCCATCCTCGACTACGCGGAGGAGAAAGGTTTAGTCGATTCCATCTGAGAGCAGGGCACGATACGGAGGATTGCGTCATTCTCTGACGGCAAATTGAAGAGCTCATCCAAAAAGGGTACTTGGGCCAATTTGTTGGCAAACAAGGAAACATCTCACAGAAGAGGACCTCACCCTAGCATATAGTCTGATTGGTGATAATTGTTTGTTGGAACCTCCGGTGGCTACTGACGTATTGAGCGATCCACCAGCTCCCTATTTCGGGGTCCATATCCGCTCTCTGGAGTGAGGGATGGCCGTGCCTCTTCATCCCTTCCTGGTTCGGTTTCTTCACTTCCTGGGTGTAGCACTAGGTCAATTAGCTCCGGTGGCTCACATGTTCGTTGCAG